TTAAATTTTAAAAGTCTTAAGAAGGAAGGCATATAAACCCAAAGTTTTCAGGGAAAAAGGGAGAACCAAACATTTTTTTATTTGAATAAGGCGGGTTTGTCCCTTTTTGGATTGAAAAAAGTTTTCTGGAAACTTTAAAAGTTTTATCAATTACTTTCTTGGGTTTTTAAATCATTACCTTTTTCATAAATTTTGGATTTTTCCTATCTATAAACCGGGACTACAAATTCGTAAAGCTCTCAAAAAATTTGATAAAAACAGACATTTGACTCTATTTGATGCAGGAAAATATGGACATAGGAACGTTATTTGTAGGTTTTTTTTGTAAATTTTTTTTAAGGGTAATAAAGAATTTTAAATTTTAAAAATTTCAGAAAAACCCAAATAACGTTTTCCCATGTCCATATTATTTTCCCCGCATCAAGATAGAGTCAAACTGTCTTTTTCTCATCAATGTTTTGAGGCTTTCGAATTGTAGTCCCGAGTTCATAGATGAGGAAATATCCAAAATTTATGAAATAGGTAATATTTAAAATACCCAAGAAATGTAATTGATAAAACTTTTAAAGTTGCCAGAAATACTTTTTACAATCCAAAAAAGGGGGGCAACCCGCCTTATTCAAATAAAAAAATGTTGGTTCTCCCTTTCCATGAAAAATTGGTTGATATGCCCTCTTTTAAGACTTTTTAAAATATTAAAGTTGTATTTAAAAATCTCGATACAGTAAAAAAACTTTGATAAAAAATTCCCCCAAAAAAGCTGAGGATGTTCTATAGATTCCTTGTAAAATTTGCGATAAAGTTTATTACGGAAACTGGTAAAAATCCGAACTAAGATTAAAACAACATAAATATAGCATTTGAACTGGACAAGATTCCAATGCTCTATTTTTTTCTGTAAAAGATTTTAACCATCCAATTGATTTTCAAAAAATTGAGAAAGTAGTATCAAGCAAGTCCTGGTCGACAGGAAATATAATTGAAAACTTGTTTCATAAAAAAAGTTTTTTTCAATAATATGAATATTTCCTTTGTTTATATAAATTAAACCATTTATAATTAATAGAATTTGGGGAAAAATTTTTAATACACGGGGCAAATAATCTTTTAAAATTTCTTATTTTTTGGGTAGAATAGTTTGTGGGGTGAGTTGTGCCAAGGACCTTTCCAAGTTGGCTCGCCGCGCGTCACGTGTTTAAACCGTTGTGGGATCTGATAGTGAGGTGCCGACCAGACCCCTTATATAGCTTCCTTGGATGCTTTACTTTCATAGTTCCTTGATAATGTGAGTAGTCACGAAAGCGCTTGAAATTTCTCTATTCTTTCAGAGTGGTTGTTTTGCATAATTCTGAAATCACCTGTTTACTGTGATCTTATTGCATATATATATTATATATATATATATAATATATATATATATAATATATATATAATATATATATATATATAATATATATATATATATATATATATATATATATATATATAATATATATATAATATATATATATATATATATATATATATATATATATATATATATATATTATATAATATATATATATATATGTCGTGCCGAATAAGTAAAAGTAGTCAATTTGCAAGAACTCATTCAAAATTAAGTCCTTTCTAAAATTTTCTCATGTACGTTTTAACTATAAGATATATTTTGTCATTTATGTTAATGTAAAAATTAATAATTTTGTACCACAAGAACCTTAGAAAGATTACCTAACCTTATTATAACAAGCGCAATTTAATTTAACCTGATCCAACTAAACATATTTTAGATAAGTTTACAATAATTTAATAATAAACAAACATAATGAAACATATTTTTTTCGTTAGTCAGAATAATTTTTGTGAAATTACTGCATACACAAATTTTCGCTTGGCTTATTCGTTAAGAAGAGCGTTGTTATTTAAGCCAAAAATCACAAGTTTTACCTATTCGGTATGACATATTTATGTATTCAGCAAGTAAGACACTTTCTTAGGCTCGTTTGTCCCATTATTCTTCAGTGGGAATGATCAGTAATAACATAATTTTCCATGTACTCTTAAAATAATGTCCTTAGCTAAAACATACTAGACTAACATCATATTCAGAAATCGACAACTCATCTACCAAACATCACCTTTGTTACAGCGCTAATTGTGTTTACAAGTCGAGGAACTACCACATATGTCCTTCGATCCTAATTCGTCTTATTTTCCATGAGGCCAACTGCACATTCTTTGGTGTCATTGTTTCAGCTTCATTCATAACACAAGAATATACTTATTAATTTGTTAAGTTGATACCAGCGTTAATTCACTGTAACTAGGAACACTACGCAGTAATCCTAGAATATCCGTTAACATAGGACTTCTAGCATGTCTGGTGACTCAGCAGAGGAACTCAGAGCATATCCGGTGACTTCTAAGGGAAGTCCTAGTATATCTTAAGTCCTAGCATGTCTTAACTTCTCAGAGAAGTTCTACGTGTCCTAAGACTTACCCTTGTCTTTCTTGGGAGACTTGGCTGGGGCTTCGTCAGCGGAACTGGGCTCACTCGTCTTCTTGGCGCCTCCAAAAAGCTGGAACCTGTTGATCAAGAACATTGTTTTATATTTTAATGCATGTATTCCTGGCCATAATTTTCACAATTTAATGAATGCTAGCGTTGGCAACATTGACGGTGGTAAATACAAACTTAAGACAGTGAAGTTTGTGAAAAATGGCATGGTGATGGTTACAAGAATTGGAAAAAGACACCTAAGTGCAGTTCAGGACATTTAGTAAAGGACACGTTTTTTCCATGAGTGGAGTCTTCAGTCCTAATATCTCTGTACTAGGACTAGTGTGACTAGTCAATCTTCCAAGTTGGACCGAAACGTCGTCATAAGTTTCTTTCTCCTATGTGCGGATTATTGGTGTGTTCTTCCAGTGATGGTATCATGCCTTTTTGTTTTTTAATGATGAAGCCATTCTTGAAGAAACATTTCCTCCAATAAATGTTCTGAACTGCACCTAAGTTTTTTACAGTGAAGTATTTATTGAAACAATATTTCACCCACTAGTGGGTTTTATTAAGGTATTTAATAACGCCCACTCGTTCAATAAAACATTGCAACATCGAAAATTTCAGTGCATTAAGTCTCTATTTTCTACGATGCTACGTCTTCATGAATTATAGTGGCGACGACAGCGTTGGTGGTGGCAAGTTTTGTTGGTAGTGGATACTGCGAAGGCAGCGGTGGTAATAACGACAGTATCGACGGCGTTAGTGTCTCTGGTGATGGTGGGAGTAAGGGCAGAGTTAACTGTGACCGAAGAGTTACTGAGGGTGATGGTAATGACTTTCTTACCGGTGACTGAAGAGTTACTGGCGTTGGTGATAACAGCACCTTGACGACGACGGTTAAAGACAATGTATTTATAATATTGAAGCTTGCTCGTATGTAAAAGTATTATAACGCCTTGTGGCGTTCTCCGAATATGCTAAATTTTATTTCACATTCATCACACAACCATTTAGCATGACCTCTAAACCAGTGAACTGGTACTTCGGAGTGTAGCAGTTCTGGGACCCTACTGTTGAGCTCATCGTGCAGTTCAAACAAGTCAATCACGTGATAGTAGTGGTCACTGGCCGTGACCACTACTACTTTGAGTGACTTAGATTTGTACTATTTCAATCAGACTTCTTCTTTCATCATTCATACTGTACAAAGTGTAAGTATTGGTGAAGGAATACATGGGTCAAGAAATCAACCCTTGATTGTTTCCCTTATCCTTGCTCTCTCCTGCTGAGAACATTATCTGCTGACTTACGATGTTACGTGCTATTATACTGCCACCTTTGATTGTGATATACCTCAAGCATGGTTTCTGCGAGGTACATTGATATAGTATCGCTCGTGAAGCTAGAGCATATAGGAGACTGAAACACCCGGAGACCATGTTCGAGGTCCACTGATGCACCCGACGTTAAGAAGCAACATGGCTAGCAGTCAAACAGGATTATAATGAAATTAGCTCAGAGGCACCCACACCACCATACGTCCTCGGAGCATGGTGAAACACATAGCTCTGCTGGGTGCTTGATTCTTGTAGGACTGCGTGGTCCTGTGGGTAAGAGCATCATGTGATTTTTCGCTCGCCATGAGGCGGGCCAAAACGACATGGGTTCGAATCCTCGGCTGGTAGGAGGCCTGGTCACAGACCAGACCGGGCCGCGGGGGCGTTGACCCCCGGAACTCTCTCCAGGTAAACTCCAGGTAGTCGCAGTGTTGTTATTGATTCAATACCACTCGTTCGTCTGTTGTTGCCTTTGCAACATTGCCCAGCTCCTGATGACGCACTGAGAAGTGTGAAAGTACATGAGCTAAAAATTTCCACCCCCATGGCTTATCTTGTATATATATATATATATATATATATATATATATATATATATATATATATATATATATATATATATATATATATATATAGTATGTATGTATGTAGTGCCGAATATGTAAAACTGGTCAATTAGCAAGAACTCATTTAAAATTAAGTCCTTTCTAAAAAATTCTCTTATACGTTTAAAGATATATTTTTTTTTCTTAAATGTTAATGTAAAAAAAAATTTATTTTTCGCCAAAAGAATCTTAGAAAACTTACCTAACCTTATTATAACAAAAACAATTTATTTTAGCCTAACCCAACTAAATATATTTTAGATTTGTTTACAATAATTTAATATACTAAACAAACACAGAGAAACATATTTTTTTCGTTAGGTTCAAAATGATTTTGGCGAAATTATTGCATAAACAAATTTTCGCTTGTCCTATATGGCAAGATAAGCGTTGCTATTTAAGTCAAGATCGCAAGTTCTGCCTATTCGGCACGACATATATATATATATTATATATATATATATATATATAATATATATATATATATATATATATATATATATATATATATATATAATATATATATATATATGGCACAGCTAGGAGAGGCAAGTGTCGGTCGAGTTTACAGCTTCGTTGTCTCAACTTTAATGGTTTCCTCCGCAAGCGCAGTAGCCGCCCTAGTTCAACACGTTCTCCTGTGGAAAGTGATGACCCAGAGCCACCTCAGGCACCTGAACCCACTCCAACACATCTCATCTTATCAGATGATATCTTGGAAGCAATTAAAGCAACAGGTACCAGGACACTCACACATATTCAAAAAGTAGCCCGTCTAAAGGCAGCTCTTAGACCTCTTAAAAAAAAGTAAACGAAGGTTCCACTATCCTAAATGCTCCACCAACCATCAATGCATGGCACAGCTTGCTACTTTCTGGCAATGTCTGCTTATCTGTGCCGGAAAGAAAGGGGAAGAGGCTAGCCTCAATGATCATTGAATCCTTAAGAGATTTTCCTAGAGCTGATAACCTCATTTGCCTTCCCATCAATACAAAAACGGGAGAGGCAGAACTCCTGCTCACTCTATTGACAGCGAAAAAATCAGAGTTCATGTGACAGACGGAAAGCAGATGGTGTGGGATTACACATGTGCATCTACCTTGGCTGGAACAAATCTCCAATACACCAGGGAGGAAGGGGAGGTTGCTGCCAGCTTCAGGGAGTTCCAAAAGTCTAGAAAATACGGAGAACTTGCCCATCATTATATGTTTGTTCTCATAGGCTCGGAGATCCTTGGCTCATGGGGAAAGATTGCAACTATGTTCCTTAAGAAGCAAGGCAAAAGACTCCTCAGGGTAACTAGGGATCCCAGGGCAGTTAGTTTTCTGTTCCAGCGACTCAGCGCTGCTTTTCAAAGGGGTAATACCTGCTGTACTTTGGGCGCGCGCACCAGCTCTGAGGAGCTGGATGAGATTTTTGCATTATAATCAGTAACAAACACGTAACTACATGTACTAGACATGTATCTCTCATACCTCATATACTGTATATGCCATCTTTATATCAACAATGTATCTCTTAAATCTTTTGTACCATATTATGCAATAAAATATACCAATATATATATATATATATATATATATATATATATATATATATATATATATAACAACACTGCACTAGCCAAGGACTAGAACCCATGCTGCTTTGGCCTGCCTCATGGTGGGCGAAAACACATGACGCCCTTATCCACTGAACCATACGATCCTTAAGAGTAGGGCATCCAGCGGAACTGGATGTTGTACTCCCTACCCAAGGACACACGGTGGTGTGGATGACTCTAGGCTAATTTCATTCTAGTCCCTGTTTGGTGTACTAGTTCAACGAGCAGTATTTTATATTATTGTGACCACGAACGAGTGGTATTGATCAATAACAACACTGCACTAGCAAAGGACTCGAACCCATGCTGCTTTGGCCTGCCTCATCATTATGGGTTCGAGTCCTTGGCTAGTGCAGTGTTGTTATTGATCAATACCACTCGTTCGTGGTCACAATAATATATATATATATATATATATATTATATATAATATATATTATATATATATATATATATTTATATATATATTATATATATATATATATATATGCAAAACAACCACTCTGAAAGAATAGAGAAATTCCAAGCGCTTTCGTGACTACTCACAATGTGAGTAGTCACGAAAGCGCTTGGAATTTCTCTATTCTTTCAGAGTGGTTGTTTTGCATATTCTGAAATCACCTGTTTACTGTGATCTTATTTCATATATATATATATATATATATATATATATATATATATATAAATATATATATATATATATATATATATATATATATATATATATATATATACATGAACAGCTAGATAGGGAGATTGACAGACTGATATTTGATGTCATAAAAATATACTTCCGACGTTGCCAATTTGTAATTTTTCATTCCCTTCTTCCTCTTACCTTGACCATTGTGTTGTCACCTGCCATAAATAATAATCACAATATGATGAAAAGAGTTTCAAGTCCAAAAGCCTTACTTCAGGTGTCCGTATTTGTACGTAAACTATCACCAGGTGATCAGTTTATGAGCCCTTCACCAAGGACATGGGGCTCCTCTTGAAGGGTTCTTCAAGAGAAAATAATTAAAGACATGGAAAACGTTGAGCCGCTTACCTTTTCCCTGGAACACCATCTTTATCCTTGTCTTTTTTCTTGTCCTTTTTTTCTTTTTTCTCCTTGTCTTTTTTTTCTTTGTCCTTCTCCTTTTCCCTGTCTTTATCCTTGTCTCTCCTGGTCCTCCCGAAGAAGCCTCCCCTTTTAGTGTCTGAGGCCGGGGTAGCGGAGGGTCCTGCAGGTTGTGGCGGTGGAGGTGCAGCCTTCCGCTTCTGTCCTCCACCTAGGGACGTCGGCGACCCTAAACTGTCGTACTGAAATGAAATAATATAAGCTCTTTTACTGAGTTCGATTGAAACATATCTAATATTTTCTCTTAGAGTGTTTAAAGAGCACGTCAGACGGCATATATAAGTTGCAGTAAAACTGCAATCAAATAAAATGTAATAAAATTGCCGATGAAGCGAAAATATAACAAATTATCTTATGGACGGCGTCAGTATTGTTTGTTTCTTCTGCTGTTAACAACCCGTCCGTAACATGTGTTGCAGAGTCGGCAGACGTAAGGCACTCAGTTTTTTATTGTATTATTGTCAGGCAATAATAAGGAAATACACAGATTAATATACGTTAACCTAAGCAAGTCTAACCTAACAATTTTTATCAAAAATAAAAAAAAAAATACTGAGAGTTCATTCAGGTAAAAATGCAACCACGGTCGTTTATGTGAAGAGGCTTCTGTGAAACCACCTGCTGATCCATGTGAAATATACACCGCAGCTATGTACTCTTCTGGTTCTTGGTGTTACTAGAAACTTGTCCATCATTGGTAGGACTCCACAAAAAAAAAGGCACAGCAGATCAGCGAGAAGTTTTTTCTTGATCTCGTGGTTCCTGGAACATCGTTCATATTTCAGTTTTCCTTACAGTACGTTAATATACACTTGGAAAATCCTAGAGGGACTAGTCACAAATCTGCACACAAAAATAACTCCCTACGAAAGCAAAAGACGCGGCAGGAGATGCAACATCCCCCCTCCCCCCCCCCACGAGTACACTGTGAGGCAACACAATATGTGTCTTGGGCCTAAGACTGTTCAACTGCCTCCAGCACAAATATGGGGGGGGGATTACAAATAGACTCCAGGCTGTCTTCAAGAAGGCGCTGGACAGGCACCTAAGTCAGTACGTGATCAACCGGGCTGTGGTTCGTATGTCGGTTTGTGTGTGGCCAGCAACAACAGCCTGGTTGATTAGGCCTTGATCCACTGAGAGGCCTAGTCAAAAACCAGGCTACGGGGGCGTTGACCCCCGAAAACCTCTCTAAGTATACTCCAGATATACTACATTCTTTAGGTTCACCACCTGAAATAGGTGCTTAGTGTAAAACTGAAAGACTAGCAGGACAGTAAAACCCTGAAGAGAAGTTCACAGCCTCGTCATGTACTGCAAAGAAGTCTAGCATCACCACAGACGGTAGTAATTAGGGAGGGCCAGAGAGAAACAAAGGAACAATGAGAAATGGAGTATCATAATGACGCGGGGAAATAAAGTGAATCAAATAGAGAGGGAAGAGTGAGAGGACAGAATGAATATAAGGAACATCATACAAACCAGAGGAAGTGAGACTCGAGTGCGACAGGATATAATCACCAAGTCTTGATATCTGTCAGCCTAAGCTGGGAGACTTAGTAGTTCAACGAGCATATTATAAAACTTACCGGTGCCAAAATGATATGAATACGTGGACTGCTAATGTATTCGTCATAAAAAATATAATCTTACACTTATCTTCATTATATAATGACCTGGTGAACGGGTCCTTGAGAGTTATGCGAAGACTGAACACAAGAACAAGGAATAGAGAATATATTCAAGAGCCATTTAAAGTAAGTCACAGAAGGATGCAGGAATCATTTAAATTTACTTAATTGTATTTGTTTTAGAAGATGAGAAGAAACCTACCATTTTTGAAAATTTATCTAAATGGAAAACTACAACACTAGTGAAGAAAGGACACACGTTACAAGACAAACGTTTACTGGAACAAAGTTTCGCTCTAATAAAACTCTATAAAGCGCTAAATGTTGTCACAAAAAAAGTCTCTTTTGAATTCAAAGTCTTTTCTTCACAACATAAATCAGAGAACATATATTAACAAGAGGCGTTAAAAATTATCATACGATAATCAATGGAAAGTCAAAATCCCACAGAGATTAATAATAGTATATAATGAAAATAACAGTGTTTGAGACTCGAGTAAGTTCAACTAAAAAATATATTAATATATTAAATTTCTCAATCGGAAGGGAAAAACTTCCCTGCATATATACACCATTCCTCGATGTGTGCAATTATAGAGTCACTCCTCCATGTGTGCAATTATGGAGTACTCCTCCATGTGTGCAATTATGGAGTACTCCTCCATGTGTGCAATTATGGAGTAACTCCTCCATGTGTGCTATTATGGAGTCACTCCTCCATGTGTGCTATTATGGAGTCACTCCTCCATGTCTGCTATTATGGAGTCACTCCTCCATGTCTGCTATTATGGAATCACTCCTCCATGTCACCCCTATACATACCTGGAGTTTACCTGGAGAGTTTCGGGGGTCAACGCCCCCGCGGCCCGGTCTGTGACCAGGCCTCATATTAAAGGTACTCACCTCAACTATATCATATGAAAGTTAGTCGACTCCTCAATGCAATGCAGGAGACACTCACCTCCTTCATGTTACTGTAGCTACACTGGAGTTGCTCACCTCTTCCATGTCGAACACATCATCGAGGTGGTCACGGTCGGGTAGAGGTGACATGGTTCGGGTGGGTGGCTCTGGGGTCTCGTAGCCGCTGTAACCTGAGGAGAGGCAAGTGAACTCACTAAATCATCTCCGGAACACAAGTGGGTGTTACCAGTTTCTTTTTACTATTTTCAAATTTGATTTGGTTCAGTCACTGAACGATCCGAGAAAAGCATTTCCTATATCCCATAACCACAGCCCCTCGTATACTGGAGCAACCATGAAGCACAGGTGCTGCAGATCATCTCCCTTAAGAGAACACGGAACTAAAACTCAACCCTGACGAAATATCCAGGAGCTGCAGTTCAGCACTTAGAACCCTCAGACAGTCCAGAAGCTTCAGATTAACGTCAAGCTGAGGCACATGAGCTGTGGATCAACACCAACAAGAGGCTCATCGTGACTTAATTATAATATAATAAACTATACTAATTACTTTCACTTATCAATAGGTTAAAAACTACACTAGTTCACTAGTAACATCATAGTGGTAATATCACAGAAAGAGTCCTGGAATGATCGTAATCTGATTGATTATCAAAAAGTTACCGCTGCTCCTAGGATTTAACTGAATAAACAGTTACTAGTCAGTCGTGGCGGATACACGAGCATTTGTCTATGATACGATGTTGTTGAATTTTGCCATAAACACAATTGTGCCTATGATTACTGACAGGTTATATGGCTTATGTTTTACCGCTAACTACCATGTTTTCTGAACCTAACGAAAAAAATATATTTCATTGTGTTTATTAAATTATTGTAAACTTATCTAAAATATATTTAGTTGGATTAGGCTAAATTAAATTGCGGTTGTCATAATAAGGTTAGGCAAGTTTTTGTAAGGAACTTTTGGTACAAAATTATTAATTTTTACATTAACATAAATGAAAACAAAATATATCTTTAGACATATAAGATAAAATTTTAGAAAGGACTTAATTTTAAACGAGTTTTTGCTAATTGACCAATTTTACCTATTCGGCAAGACACACACACACACACACAAACGCACGCACGCACACACACACACACCACACACACACACACACACACACACACACACACACACACATATATATATATATATATATATATATATATAATATATATATATATGTTTTTCACCACTGTCAAAAAATAGTGATTTCTCGCTATTTTTTCACATTATAAAGGAACTGTAAAAATAAAAGATCAACAAAAAGGACGAGATCAAACCTCGCGGTGAACTTACAACATCTGACCTCTCATGATGATGTAGGCAGGTAGTGAAAGACTTGTCAAACACAGCTTATATTCAACCCAAGCTTTAAGATTTTAACTTTTTTTAATATATCTTAAATTCTTCCCAAATCTTATTAATCATAAAGGAATCCTGTTTGTATAATCCTAAAGCAATATTCATATTAATTTCAAAACTATTTTTTATGAAACTTGATTCTATTACCATTTGACCTGCCTGATATTAACTTTCTCGGCCTTTTGACAGTCAACTGGATAGTTAAAATCTCTCATGTGAATACAAAGAGCATTAAAAACATGTTCACTTGTAATGCTATATTTATGTTGTTTTAATCTTAGTTCAAGACTTTTTCCCAGTTTAACCGTAATAAACTTTATCACATTTTTTACAAGGAATCTTGTAAACACACCCATCAGCATTTTTGGGGATTTTTTTTTTCCAGAGATTTTTGTTCTGTATCAAGATTTTTTTGAATTGTAAAAAGTATTTCTAGGAATTTCAAAAGATTTATCAATTAAGTGTTTTGGGTATTTTATATCATTAATCTTGGGTATTTTAGATCATTAAATCTTGGGTATTTTAGATCATTAAAACTTGGGTATTTTAGATCATCAAATCTTGGGTATTTTAGATCATTAAATCTTCAAGATTTCTTCATCTATGAACTCTGAGCTCTCAAAAACATTGATGAACATAAGAACTTAAGAATAGAGGAGCACTGCAAAAGGTCTAATGGCACATACAAGGTAAGTCCTTATTAACACCACCACTACCCAAAAACTACCCAAGAATATACTCCCGTACCCATGACACCAATCAGAAAGTTTAACTCTTTCATGAATAACTATCATGTTATAAAGAACAGTTATTTGTTGATTATTTGTAAACTTTAATTTTAAAATCGTGGTTCTCCTTAATAATTAAAATATCTAGAAAAGGCAATGAATTATTATGTTCAAACTCAATAGCATAATTTAATTTAGCAGGGAAATGGTTTATATCGTGGCTATCACGTTCGTGCCTACAGCTATCATTCAACTCTCCCTGTGGTTGTTTTGTATCTTGTATCGCTTGTTCGCTATTCTTGCACACACACACACACACACACACACACACACACACCCCACACACACACACACATATATATATACATATATATATATATATATATATATATATATATATATAATATGTGTGTGTGTGTGTGTGTGTGTGTGTGTGTGTGTGTGTGTGTGTGTGTGTGTGTGTGTGTGTGTGTATGTGTGTGTGTGTTATATCTTTTTACAACGTAATATTCCCGTACCTTAATCAGATGAACTTTTGACTAGAAGCAAAGAAATGACCTTTCATTTCAATATATATATATATATATATATATATATATATATATATATATATATATATATAATATATATATATGTCGTGCCGAATAGGCAGAACTTGCGATCTTGGCTTAAATAGCAACGCTCATCTTGCCATATAGGACAAGTGGAAATTTGTGTATGCAATAATTTCGCCAAAATCATTCTGAACCTAACGAAAAAAATATATTTCACTGTGTTTGTATAGTATTTAATTATTGTAAACAAATCTAAAATATATTAAGTTGGGTTAGGCTAAAATAAATTGTTCTTGTTATAATAAGGTTAGGTAAGTTTTCTAAGATTCTTTTGGTGCAAAATTAAAAATTTTACATTAATATTAATGCAAAAAATATATCTTTAAACGTATAAGAGAAAATTTTAGAAAGGACTTAATTTTAAATGAGTTCTTGCTAATTGACCAGTTTTACATATTCGGCACGACATATATATATATATATATATATATATATATATATATATATATATATATATATATATATATATATATATATATATATATAATATATATATAATATATATATATATATATATATATATATATATATATATATATATATATATATATAAATTAATATATAATATATATATAATATATATATATATATATATATAATATATATATATATATATATATATATATATATAAAATATATAATAATATATAATATATATATAAAATATATATATATATATATATATATATATATATATATATTATATAATATAATATATATTATATATATATATATATATATATATGTATATATATATATATATAATATATATATATATATATATATATATATATATATATATATATATATATATTGTGACCACGAACGAGTGGTATTGATCAATAACAACACTGCACTAGCCATGGACTCGAACCCATGCTGCTTTGGCCTGCCTCATGGTGGGCGGAAACACATGACGCCCTAATCCACCATGAGGCAGGCCAAAGCAGCATGGGTTCGAGTCCTTGGCTAGTGCAGTGTTGTTATTGATCAATACCACTCGTTCGTGGTCACAGTAATATAAAATACTGCTCGTTGAACTTGTACACCAAACAGGGACTAGAATGAAATTAGCCTAGAGTCATCCACACCAACGTGTGTCCTTGGGTAGGGAGTACAACATCCAGTTCCGCTGGATGCCCTACTTGTAAGGATCGTATGGTCCCGTGGATTAGGGTGTCATGTGTTCTCGCCCTCCATGAGGCAGGCCAAAGCATCATGGGTTCGAGTCCTTGGCTAGTGCATTGTTTATATATATATATATATATATATATATATATATATATATATATATATAGAGAGAGAGAGAGAGAGAGAGAGAGAGAGGGAGAGAGAGAAGGGAGAGAGAGAGAGAGAGATCAATTACCAAACGGGTGAGCTTATTTACAAACATTGGTTCTAATTCCACAGAAGGATTTGAATCTGCTCACTTTGCATCGAACTACAGCATTATTTATTGAGTTTAGATATTGTGTAATCGAATAGGGCTCATTATGTCTTCGTTTACTACTGCTAGATTAACAATCTGACAACACTGCCCACCAATTTGTTTACAGGGTGAACACATCTCCTTCAGTCTAACACATATTTAGTGTCGAAATACCTTTCCTATAAATTTCTCATAACACAGCTAAATATGAAATTACAGAGAAAAAGTTTAACGTTCTCTGAGCTGTTGCCTATCTCACATCCAGTTTTAGTGATAATGTTAGAATTCATATATATTTAATAAATAGCGGGCACAATGAATTCCTGAAGTACTCAGGTACTCAGGAATTCCTGAAGTACTCCTGAGGTACTCAGCACTAATAATTCTATTTTGTAATAAAGAATGGGCCTCACAATCCGTCCAGGCAAATTCACTCTCATTGTCGACGACCAGTACACGCAATTATTTCGATTTACTTTACCATAGAACTTGAATGTTGCTAAGTCTGACGAAACCGTCTTGCTTACACAGTGTACAATGTTCGCCTTTCTTTGAAACCATTCATGAAACTGAGCTCTGAAATCAGAATCATCATAAACATGGCATGTAACTATTGGTCCATGTCTCACTAGCACGTTGCCGTACAGATTATCTTGGTGATCACGTAAATTATTGTCGCACTCTAGAAGATTTTTTACACTCTTTAGTGGGCACAATAAACTTTCGCGAACAGTTCAGAGGAGCTAGAACAATTTATGTTGGCTCCTGCTTAGGAGCTGAGGAATTCGTTAATAAAGAGAAAGTTCTTCTTGGGGGAAACGATGGTGCACGAGTTCTGCGACTCAGATCATGAATATTACAGGAAAATAGAAATTTTAGAGATGAAAACACTTCCGAAATCGACCAATGGTTGGAAGTTACATCCTAAACGGCAATATTACCGTAGCGCACGCCCTGTAAATTTTCAACAAATTAATGACACAAC